CTGATCACCCACAACTGCCCTCCCCTCTTGGCCTCTAACTGCCTCTACCTTAGCCCCGCCACTATGGCTTTGTCCAGCAGAACATCTGGAAGGTCTCCCAGTCTAATTAGCATATTACTCTTTTATTAGTATAGATATATTTGTCTGTAAATATGATTATGATTGCAGATATGAGTAGGACCAGGTAAAATTTTGTAGAATGGACCTTTCATTACAGATGGTTTCCCATGTATGCATTTTTTCTAAAGAAGTAAAAATTACTTTTAAAAATGTTTCAGGAAGACTTTGAGAAATTTACAGTATCTGCTTTTCTTCCAAGAAAGTTGTCACTTTTATGCCAGAGTGAGAATTATTTGTATGCTTTGTATGTCAGCATTGGGTCACTGTGACTGGGGGGCACTTAGCTTGACTTGAGAGTAATTATCTTGCTCACTGGCTGGGAGGGAGGGTGTGTGGCAGAGGAGATAAATACTCGGTTCTGGATTATCCATAGATTGCTGACTTTCTGGATTGATTGTGCAATTCCCTCCTTTTATTGATGTCCACCTTCTATTGACAGACATCTACCCTGGGAGAGAAATGAGATGAAACTTTCTTTCTTTTCATTGTAAAAAGCATTTGAATTCCTAAGGTGTGATAAGGCCACCCAGCCATCCACAGTCAAGGTACACATTTTCATGGAGGATGTTCCCACTCTTGAATAAATTAAAACAATTTTTTTCTTTTAATTTAAACTTTCTTCTATAACTGTTTTCTTGTTACTTAAAAGCTAGTTTTTTTGAAACTACTTCCAAAGCTTTTCAAGCTGTATATGTCCTTGGAATGAATTTATAAATAAGAATTGAGCCTGGCCGGTGTGACTCAGTGGTTTAGCATTGGCCTATGAACCAGGAAGTCACAGTTTGATTCCAGGTCAGGCCACATGCCCGGGTTGTGGGCTTGATCCCCAGTACAGGGACGTGTAGGAGGCAGCCAATCAATGATTCTCTCTCATCATTGATGTTTCTATCTCTCTCCCTCTCCCTTCCTCTCTGAATCAGTAAGAATATATTTTAAAGAGAGAGAGAAAGAGAGAGAAGAGTATATGTTTGTAAATAAGAAAACATGTATTTAATGCTCTTAGAAAGTCTTATTTTCTTTCATTATAACTTGTGCAGTATAGGGAACTTCATAGATGCTCTTAATTTGAAGAAAGTTAGAGGGAAAGGTACTAATTCAGAGTTCCTTGGGAAAATGTGTCACTTATATATTTTTTTATGTTTATTGTTTTTTAAATCAAAAACTGAAATATTTTCTATTCAGAAAATATATTTGGATCTAAATATCTTCTATAATTTTAACCCTAAAATATCAATTTAAATATTTTAAAAATGGTTGGGATGTTTGTTTTTTTAAATAAGTTAGGTTACTAGAGTTCTACATGTTACTGGATCACCTGGGGTAATTTCTGATTGGAAAATTAAGAATTATAGTCAGAGGGAGGACATGAGAATTTTTAAAGAACATATTCAATTTACTTTAGAAGCGAACCTCTCTATCATGTGACTTGTTTTGTATGTTTGTGAAAGGGGCAAGGGCTAGGCCCTCCACCTTGCCCCAGGGTAAGGGCTAGGCCCTCCACCTTGCCCCAGGGTAAGTGCTCCATCTTACCTTGGCCACGTGCTTGGCAAGGAGCTTCTTCCCGGAAGTCTAAGCCTCTGCTAGCCACACCCAGGAACAAGACACAGACTTGTGCCTGGCCAATCGGCAGAGCACAGTCCTTTCTCCTCCCCTTCCTCCAACTCCCCCTATATAACCCGTCTCCACACAGAGTTATCTCTCTCTGCTTCCTGTCGCTGCGTCGGCAAGGTGGGGGAGCCGAGCTAGCTCGAATAAAGACTCTTATGCTTTTGCATCGGACTGGCTGGCTCCCTGATGTGGTTTCTTGGGGATCCTGAAATCTGGGCATAACATGTTAAACTATATTATCACATAAGCATTGCTGCTATTGGGACAAACAGTGACAGTTTATTCGGGTCATTTGAATGTCCACTGTCTGTTTTAATTTGTATGTTCGTTTTGACTCTGTCATATGCTCAAACTTCAGTGAAAGTCATGAGAACCTATTATTTTTGCCTGCTCCCTCCTTTATGTTGGAAATATTCTTTTTTACTCAGAGGGACCTTAACTTTGATGTAAGGGATTGTTTCCGTTGCCAACTTTTTTCTTCCTTGCCAAGTAAGACAGTTGTTGTGAACTCTTCAGTGATGCCTTCCCCTGGATATTTGCAGATGTAGTTGGGAAAACTCCTTTCATCCCCGACCTTTGCATGTCAGGTGCTGGGGTGCCCGGGTGCCCAGGGTGCCGCCGTGCCTGCGGCCGGGGCTCTCCCTTTACGATCACCGGCTGGGGGCGGGCAAAGGCAGCCCTGGTTCTCCAATCCAGGGCTGGGGGCAGGTTCTCAGATACTGCCACCCGGCTCTTGCCTGCCACCTGGGTTTCCGATCACCATTCTTCCGTCCTTCCCCTTTCGCCTCCCATCATTGCGCCTACGTATGCAAATTAACCGCCATCTTTCTTGGCAGTTAATTTGCATGTCGCCCTGATTAGCCAATGGGAAGCGTAGCAAAGGTACAGTCAATTACCCTTTTTGTCTTTTATTAGATAGGATAGGCAGAATTTTAAAGATATCCCATTTGTCTCCCATCCTCTGGTTATTCAATCAAACAATCTAGGTAGTGCTGTGAAAGGACTTTGCAGATGGATTGAAAGTTACTAATCAACTGACCTTGAAATCAGAAGGTTATCCTGAATGATGCAGGGGAGCCCAAAGTAATCGCATAAACCCTTAACAATAGAAGAGGAAGGCAGAAGAGTCACTCAGAGGAATACAATGGAAGAAGGAGAAGGGATGTGGCAGGAAAGGACATCAGAGAAATTCCAAGCATGAGTACAGTTTTTAAAAAATATGTGTTTACTGATTTTTAGATAGAGAGGAAGGGAGAGTGATAGAGAGATAGAAACATCAATGAGAGAGAAACATTAATCAGCTGTCTCCTGCATGCCCCCCACTGGGAATTGAGCCTGAAACCTGGGCATGTGCCCCAACTGGAAATCAAACCAGTGATCTCTTGGTTTATGGATTGGCGCTCAACCAATTGAGCCACACTGGCTGGGCAAGAGAAGGATTTTTCACACCTTTAATGCCTCTGAGATATAAGGGTCCAAGTAAGGACCTGCATGATACCTCGTGGAATTTCAGGTTCGATTCCTATTCAGGGACATACCTAGGTTGCCGGTTCGATCCCTGGTTGAGGTGCATACAGGAAGCAACTGATGGGTGTTTCCCTCTCACATCAAGGTTTCTCTCTTTCCTAGCACCATTTGATCTTGGTTTTATACTGTACATTCATGAGCCAAACATTAGGATCAAAGCAAATTACAACTTACTTCCTATAATTTACTCCTTCCTATCACATAAATTTAAATTGGATTTAGGTATAAAGGGAACTAAACATTTAAAAATATTAACACATTTACATTAAAAAATAAAACTCTAAAATGGGGAGATATCTGTAATACTATCAACAATAAAAATACATTTAAAAATGAAAAAAATAAAACTTTACATTTACACATGAGGGTATATTTGGGTAACAGATGAAACAAAATTATGTATTAAGGCTTGTGTTCATTTCATTATCCCTCTAGATCAGTGGTTCTCAACCTGTGGGTCAAGACCCCTAAATACATCCTGCATAACAGATATTTACATTACGATTCATAACAGTAGCAAAATTACAGTTATGAAGTAGCAACAAAAATAATTTTATGGTTTGGGGTCACCACAACATGAGGAACTGTATTAAATGGTCGCGGCATTAGGAAGGTTGAGAACCACTGCTCTAGATCATCAAATGATTAATTTGGTATCTGTAGTAGTTTCTTTTTCTTTCTTTTTTTAATCCTCAACCAACGATATGCTTTCATTGAATGTCAACTGTAATTGAAAAATAAAATTAACAAAGAAGACAAGATCAAGAGTTTCTTGAGAGTAGGGACCCTGCCTAATTGTGTTTGTATCATCTTTGGGTAGATATATTGAAAGCATTTAATAAATGCTTCTTGAACATTGTATGTATTGGTTGCTCTTTTTGCTTCGAGAAAAAATTTACTTTAAAAAAAAACTGTGTCCCTTATTTTTTCTTATAGTTTATGCTTTCTAATCCAGTGCTAGAAAATCCAGTGAATCTGCAAGCAGCCCAAACACTGGTTGAAAATGAAACTGTATACAAACTAATAGTTCAGAGACTTTTCCGTGAGAAATTACCATGTAAGAAATGCCTACTTATCATTTGCCAGTTATTAATTATATATTTATAGCAGATAAGTGATCTAGCAAATAACTGTTATATAAAAGAATATTTTCTTGTATCCATTTTCAGTAATGAAATTATACTAAGATCTCTCCTACTGTACCTCTCTGTCAAGACAATTATGTGATCTTTTTTAAAGATTATCAAAGATTGTCAGCTTAGAACCTTTAAATGTAATGGTCATATGCATGGATGGTGCCAATTAAAACTAGTCTACCCATCATAAAGCTACGACATCTATTTTTAATTCTTTGATCTATAATGGATATTTCCTAGATTTCACCGGCAGCACCCCAGGTATTACTGATCTGGAATTCCCTTCCTCTTTATTAGAAAAATGCTCAGCTTTTTTCTCTTTCTTTCTTTCTTTCTTTATTTTATTTTTTATTTTTTTTAGACAGTACACCCACCCTCTACCCTCCACCACCTCCAGGTATTCCTTCTAAGTGACTATGTGGAAATGGTATCTGAGGCTCTTCGGTCTTTCTCTCTATTGACTAATGTTTATAAGATACCCTTGGTTTGCTTACTCTCATTCTGCCAGTAACCTCTACATGACTCCTAACTCCATCACCTTCATGGGTCCTGTTTCTGCAGTTAGCAGAACAATGCTGTTGACTCCTATGCCCAGAAGGGTTTGCCACAAGGGAGGGTTGGGCCCGTAGTGACATGGTTATTCCCTTTCTATCCTGCCCCTCCTCTTCTGAAGTGCACAACCTTGAATAGTAGCCGGCATCATCACCTCTTTAGTCAGCAGGCCTTGCTGTTTCAACTCATTTCTCTGTTCTTACTTCTCTCTCATGTGTTTTATCTCTCAGATGCCCATTCTCTCTTTTCCCGGTCCCCTTATAGAACCTGCTGGTCCATTAGCTAGGTCTGTACAATTGAAACCAAGTTCAGATGTTTCTCCACAGGGCTTCTGGGTCTGATGCAAATGAAGCCGTTAGGATCAGGCATCTTTTCTGGTTTGTCATGATTGCCAGGAGGTTCCTCAAACACTCCCTGACGGTTTTGAGGCTTGTTTGTACACAGAGGAGTCACATTGCTTTACCCTGACCACATTTGTAATCTACCAGAACACCATCGCATCCACGGCTGTATCCTCTGCTCTCAGTAATCATTTATGAATGAATGCAGGAAGGATACATATCACTTAACCTTCCGTTGAGCCCTGCAGGACTATCATTATAAAGAGAGATTCTGTAACAAAGCTATGTCCATATTCTGGTGAATGGAAATTTAAAGGCTCGTTTTAAAAGCATTTTCTACAACAGATGATTCTATGCAACCGATTTTGTGTTTGCCCTGCAGAGAGAAAGGATGAGAAGGAAACTAAACAAAAATTGGCCCTTCCTTTTGTCCTCCTGTCTGGTAGGCATCAGCCTTCACCCCTTTCACTTCTTCAACTTTGCCATCAAACCACACAGAAAAGCTGTCCAAATTGCCAAATCACCCAGCAAGTGAGCAACAACACAGATAATACTTTGGCAGGTTTGGAAACAGTTGCCTCTCAATTGTAAAGACCCTGTTGCCTTCTTGTTGCCAGGGTTGCTCTTGAGAAGCCTGATTTCCTTCAGATGTCCAGTTGCTCACATGCAATAGATTTTCTTTCTGGAAGCTTTAAAAACTTCTCTTTATTCCCAGTGATCAGAACTTTCTTGATAATGTTTTTTGATGTAGTTTTTTTGTGTTTTGTTTTGTTTTTTCTCCTCGGTTCACATGTAGGGCATTTGATAGGTGGTTTAAATCTGACTTTTAAAACTTTAATCCTTTAGTTCTGGACATTTTTCTTACGTAATTTCTTTTATAATTTATTTCCCCTTCATTTTCCCTGTAATTTCGTTTAAATATCCAGATACTTAGATGTGGGATCTATTGATCCTTTGATTCTTTAAAAAATCTACTTTCTCCTATTATCCATCTCTTTGTTTTTTGTTCTATATTCTAGAAAATTTTCAGAAAAGTATGTTTCTGTTTTTCTCCCTGTTAATTTGTTTTGATGACTCTCTTTCATGATATTGAATTTACTCAAATGTCTAGGATCTTTGACTATTCATATGATGAACATACGGTGAATGGAAATCAGTCACTAAAAAGATGGGGACTATTTGAATACAGACTGGACTTGTGGACGGTTTCGTTTCATTGCAGGGTTATTCCGTGGAGGGTACCATTAGTTACCATTGGTTAGGCTTGAAGCCGTTAGTTAGGCTTGACTCTTTCCCCTGAGATAAATCTGGGAGAGAGATGCTAGCTGCTCACACTCTGGGAGCTGGACAGGGGGAGAGAGTGGGCATCTTATCTCTTCAATATGAATTATTTGGTTTAGTCACCACTTTCCCTGACCACACTCTTGTTCTGCTTTGTGCCTAGTCTCCTCCAGGCTTGAGCCTCTCTGACTCAGTTTCTCCAGAGAGTACACCTCCTTCCTCCTATCTGGGCAGTGGTGACCATCTGGGTGCACAGGATGAGGGGGTCGATCTTGGTTGGCTGCGCTGTTCCTCTCACCTTTCTGAGGTATCTGGCACCTCCAGTTTCTGGATCCTTCCTCACGTTCTGAAGTGTAAATCTGCCTCTTTTTATTGCCCCCACCCTCCCGCCCCCTCCACCCCCCGCCCATCACATAGTTAGGTTTCAGATATCTACATCCTGCTAGACAGTTACCCCTTTCCACCGGCTTTCCATCTTGAAATTTTTTCTTGCCATCTTTGTTGGCTCTCCTTGAGGTTTTATACCTTATTTTAATTCCCCTATTACCATTCTATTGAGGGTTTGGAAAAAGTGCACATAAAGTCATGTATTCAATCTTCTAAGTAAAGCAGAATCTTTTCTTTCTTTTTTTCACAGTGGATAAAGACAGCAGCTCTGATTTATCTAAAGACTCAAATAAATTAATCAGGTAAGTTTTTCTTCATACAATTCTATGTCAGTTTATTTACTAAAGGGCTGTTTATTTAAACTGTTTACATGATCTCTCATAATGGAATATTTTTTGTCTCAGAAAAGGAAGTAGATATCTTTCCTCTTACAATACATTTTTAAGATGTTTTCAGGGAGAACGTGGGAAATTATTGAATTCTTTCTAGATGATTACATTAATATTGAAAGGAACTATATGAACTCACCTAGTCTTTTAATTTTGATAGTGTTGAAAAGAAAAAGCATGTTGTGAACATAATGAGTACAAATCATTATAGACAGCAGAAATCCAAGCAATTTAGGAGAAGGCAGGTTCTAGAGAAAATGGTGAGGATAAGGGCAGAAGCCACTGTACCTTTTGGGAGACAACCTGACAATGTGGCATAAATTCAGCCTTGAACACACGCACCAGGTATAGGTCAGTGTTCTCCTGTATCGTTCTGCAGGTATATGTTGTTTGGCTTTCTGGTTATATAGATATAGTCTTTTGTCAACAGTCATCAATTTGTATGCTTAATATCTGTGTTTTACTGAATGCAAATTATACTTTAAGTTAGTCTAAAAATAGTCAACTATCTTTGCAACTCTTTTTATAAATCTAGTTATTTCAAAAAATTTTTTTGAATAAAGGTACCAAAACTTTTTTCAGTGGGTAGAAGAAATGGGTATACTTCCAAATTTCCAAACTCTGATTCTAAAATATGAGATTATTTCAAGAAAGACAAATTATAGCCTAACCGATTTGGCTCAGTGGATGGAGCGTTGACCTTCGGACTGAAGGGTCCTGGGGTTCGATTCTGGTCAAGGGCATGTACCTTGGTTGCGGGCACATCCCCAGGAGGGGTTGTGCAGGAGGCAGCTGATCGATGTTTCTCTCTCATCGATGTTTCAAACTCTCTATCTCTCTCCCTTCCTCTCTGTAAAAAAATCAATAAAATATATTTTTTTAAAAAGACAAATTGTAGACCAATATCTCTCAGAAACACAGGTGCATAAATCTAATCAAAATATTAACAAATTGAATCCACTGATAAATAAAACATGATAGTCTATCATGACCAAGGGGGCTTGATTTCAGGAAAGTCAGGTGGGTTAAAATTTGAAAATCAATCAGTGTAACTCACCCTGTTAAATAAAGGTGGGGACCCACAAAATGATCTCAATTAATCCAGAAAATATATTTGCTAAAATTTAACACCCATTCATGATAAAAATTCTCAGCAAGCTAAGAATGAAAGATAATTTCCTTATCCCAGTAACCTTATACTTAAATGTGAAATGTTGGAACGCTTTTTCTTCTGAGTTTAGGAACAAGACAAGTATCCCGTTATCACCACTTCTAGTTAACACTATACTGGAGGTCCTAGCTAGTGCAATGGGGCAAGGAAAAGAAAGATAAGCTCTGAAGTTTGGAAAGAATGAAGTAAATATCTTTATTAACAGACTAGAGGTCCAGTGCACAACAATCGTGCACTGGGGGGAGGGGGCGGTCCCTCAGCCTGGCTTGCACCCTCTCACAGTCCCGGACCCCTCAGGGGTTGTGCACCTGACAGCTTAGGCCCGTCAGGCCTAAGCTGGCAGGTGGACATCCCCCGAAGGGTCCTTAGAGCTGCCACCAAGGTGGAAGAGGCTCCCACCGCTGCCATGGCACTCGCCAGCCATGAGCCCAGCTTCTGGCTGAGCGGAGCTCCCCCTGTGGGAGCACACTGACCACCAGGGGGCAGCTCCTGCATTGAGTGTCTGCCCCCTGGTGGTCAGTGCACATCATAGCAACCAGTCCTGAAGTTTGGTCAATTTGCATGTTAGGGTTTTATTATATAGGATTATTTACATAGTAAAATCCAAATGAATATACAACGCTTGAAAATTAATGAGTGAATTCAGCAACAACCCTGACTACAAGGTAAACATTTAAAAATCAACTATATTTTTGTATACTAGCAACCAACACATAGAAAGTGAAATTTTAAAAAAACTGCTACAACAACAAAATTTAACAAAGACAACTATATTGAAAACTGTAACATAAATCTGGGGGAAAATTTTAAAGACCTAAAGAAATAGAGATATACAATGTTTGCAAGTTGGGAAGAGTCAACATTACTATAATGCCAATTCTTCCCAAATTTATGGATTCAATTCAATCTCAGTCAAAATCTTAGCAGTATTTTTCTGGAAATCAACAAGGTGATCCTCAGCACAATTTACCATAGCTAAGATTTGGAAATAGCCTAAGTGCCCATCAGCAGATGAGTGGATTAAAAAACTGTGGTACAGCCCTAACTGGTTTGGCTCAGTGGATAGAGCATTGGCCTGTGGACTGAAGGGTCCCAGGTTTGATTCTGGTCAAGGGCATGTACCTTGGTTGCGGGCACATCCCCAGTAGTGGGTGTGCAGGAGGCAGCTGATCGGTTTCTCTCTCATCAGTGTTTCTAACTCTCTATCTCTCTCCCTTCCTCTCTGTAAAAAATCAATAAAATATATATATTTTTTAAAACCTGTGGTACATCTACACAATGGAATACTATAGTGCTATAAAAAAGAATGAACTTTTACCATTTGCAACAGCATGGATGGACCTGGAGAGCATTATGCTAAGCGAAATAAGCCAGTCAGAGAAAGATAAATATCACATGATCTCACTCATATGTGGGATATAATGAACAACATAAATTGATGAACAAAAATAAATTCAGAGACTAAGAAACACTGATCAGACCGTCCAACCTCAGAGAGAAAGGGGGAGTGGGGGTGGTTAAGAGATCAACCAAAGGACTTGTATGCATGCATATTAGCATACCAATGGACACAGACACTGGGGCAGTGGGGGCTTGTTCTGGGGGTTGGGTGTGGCGGGGGGGGGGGGTCACTGGGGAAAAAGGAGATATATGTAATACTTTAAACAGTAAAAATGAAAAATAAATACTAGTAAAATGTATCTAGAAATGCAAAGGATTTAGACTAGCAAGGCAATTGAAGAAGAAGGACAAAGAAGATTGACATTCCTAGATATCAAGATGTACTAGAATGTGAGAATAAATTTTGCTCCAATTGGATCTTTTTAGGTCAGGTTCCTATCCCCAAACTTGTCACCATTGTTGGACAGCCCTAAATTCACCAGGCCCTGACTTACAGCCAGGGGTGGGGGCAGTTCCATCAGACCAAATGACATATACACAATGGGAGAAAAACAAACTAGTTGTTCAGGAGGCCACCACAATGTTCACTGTGACAGCCTTCCTATACATAGAATTTTACCAGACCAGAACCTTGTTAAGTAAGAGTTTGTCAGCACAGAGAGCAAAGGAGTCTCTGGCTGGAACTGCTTGCACAGGCACCGACATGGGATGTTACAGTGTGCTCAGGGTCAGCCGGAGGTTCCATGCGATGGTGCCTCTGGGCGTGTGCGTGGATGGTGGGAGTAAAGGTTGGAAAAGACTTGATGATGGAGAACCTGGAGTTCTATCAGAAAGAGTTTAGATTTCATCCTATGGAATTAGGAAATCAAAGCTGTCTTTCACACAGAGACATGGTAACCTGGAATAGGGAGAGACTGAGGTAGAAAAACAGTTAGGAAGCTGTGTAGAGTTTGCAGGAGAGAAGTGATGAGGTACTTATCTGAGTCCGTTCAGAAGACCAGCTGACACTGGGCACTGAGGGGTACTGAAGCCTCTCCTTAGCTCTTTCCATAGTTGATTTCATTGAGTGCTCACAAGGAACGCGGGACAGACTCTCTCTCTCTCTTGGTTTTATAGGTGAGGAAACAGGAGTAGAGGGTTAGGGCATTTTCCCAGCCAGGAAGTCACAGTGCCAGAGTGCTTCCTCCGGGCCAGGTGATTCCAGAGCCGGTGCTCTTAATCAGGATACTAAATGACTCCGTACCCAGAGACACTAGAGGCTTGGTCCTTAGGCTTTGTTACGGCTGGCACGTTGCTTCCCCGAAATAGCACTAGCACAGTTCTCTGCTCCCCGTGATTTCCCTGTTGTTTCTTTCACTGGCTCCTCTCAGCTATGAACTGGTTTCTGCTCTTTCTTTTCTAAACACTTAATTACTCTTCTGGAGTTTGTTTTCCCTAATGGCGTCATCTATCAACCTTTATGTTGATTTGACCCAAATCTCCTATTTCCAGTCTCAATTTCTCAATCACACTCCTAAAGGTCAGCACCTAAAACCCGTGTTTAAAATTAAACTCATATTTTACTTCGGTTTCTCTAGGCGCTTTCTATTAATAGCAAAACGAACCGGTCATCTGGGCTTTAGGAGAATATTTGACCCTCAAATTCCTTCACCTTTCACACCCTAAGCAGTCCAGTCCGTTCCTTGCCGTTGATTCATCTCCCCCCTTTCATAATCCTTTGCTCCCATCCTAGTATTAGCTCTCTGTGTCTCTTGCCTGAATTATTAGATTTGTTTCTTCAGTTGTTCCCCCAGCATTTAATTTCCCATACAATCCACCCTGCATACTAATGCCAGAAAAAAAACTCTTACACGCTGATTTCATAATTTGCTTGCCTTGTTGGAGAACTTCGGATTGCTCTCTATCACCTAATAAATCAAGATGACTGAGTCAACTCTAATCCATTCTCTGCCTAAATCTGAAGACCCTGCATTGCCCAGTTTCGCTTATTTTATCAAATTCCAACGCCTCTGGAATTGGAACTCTCCACTCTCGTCGATTATCTTGTTACTGTCATCTTTCCCCCAGCACGCCCTGTACGCACAGGCCAGGCTCCTTCCCGTGTGAGCTGTTGATTGCCGTGTTTCCCTGGCTGAAAATGCTGCTTTCCTTGGTTCCAGGGCCACATCCCCAGTCACTCTTTCCCTCTTGGCTCCAAAACAAAGTTCTCTCTCCCTCTTCCAACCTCTTCTGCTTACTGCCATTGCCAGAGAAGTACCCGCCATCATCCTCTCCAGACGCTTGTGCTAAACGCTGTAACACTTCACGATGTTAATATGGAAAGCTGTGCTATTGACTAACTCAGGTAGACATCTTATTTTCCCCGGTAATGAGCTCTGAGGTTCAGTTTTACATGATGTCTTCTACTTTTTCATATTCGTAAGGCTTCATAAAGTCCCGGTATCGGTTGAAACTATAAGCACGTGTATTTTTTACGCTGTGTCTATCCCCTGTAAACTTAGCCGTTTACCTGAATAGTAGTAAAATCGTTACCGTTCTCTTCTTTTAAGGGGCCGTTTCCTTTACAGAAGTGAAAATGCAAATATTCCCAGGTGTTTAGGACAGTCTTTGCATATTCAAGCTATACTAAAGTTATGCCTTTTAAAGTAATATTTTTAATTATTCTGGAGGAAGAAAAGAAAGCCCCCGGAGGCTAACAGTTTGAAATTGAGCAGGACACTGTTGGGGAGGGGGGGAGGGTCAGGGGTCATCGTCAGACAGACAAAAGACAATGGAGACTATTGTGCCTGAAGATGGTGTATTTTTTTTTCAGAGACAGTGTGTTGACAGTTTCCTTCCTCTTGGGTCATTGTTGTCGGCTAAGTGATCTGTGACAGCAAATTGATCACCAGCTTTTTCATGCAGGAGACATAATGCAGCCTTTCATTTCGTTACCTCCGTTGCCAAATGCCGAAACATTTCTTTGGGAAATTAATGTTAGTTTAGTATATCATTTAGTACTAGAAAGCACCACCTTGTAGTTCTGGAAGCAATAGTAGCCGTGATTCATTTATCTTCAGATTCCTACATAGGTGTGATTGCAAAAGCAATAACACGTTTGAAAAATGTTAGTCTTAAAATGAGGTGTCTGCAATTGTCATTTAAAGAAATGAATGCGTTAACACATTTAGATATTGCCCCATTCGTTTTAAAATGTAGTCAAATATTTACTTTCAGGCACCTATAAAAATTAATGCCAGTAGACCTGTTCTAACAGAAAAGTTGTTTCTTCTCCAAAAGGCTAGGAACCTAAAATGGAACACAGACATAAGGCCTTTTACATTTGATGCTCAACCATCTCAGCCAGTCAGGTAGTGAGCTCACGGGTCTGAAAAATACCCCAAAGTAACGTCTTGTTTGTAGAATGCTGAGAATCTCTGCCCTCAAGAAATCTGTAGGAAAAAAATTGGAAAGGCAGTTATTTAAGAGACTGTTTCACAGTTCCTGTTTAATTCTTTATAGCAACTGTTGCTTTCCCGTTAGGACAGAGGAACATTAGCCCGGGGAGGTAAACCGCAGGCAGGAATCCCAGGAAAGAGTTGCACGTTCTGCTTTGATAATGGCCGCATTCTATGTCAAAATTAAACTAATCTCAATGCTGGTGTGTCATCTCTCCTCATAATAAAGGAGAAATAAAGGTGACTTACATTTGGAGTAGTAATGTAAGACAATTATCTATTGAAGAAAGAAAATATGCCGAAACTGGTTTGGCTCAGTGGATAGAGTGTCGGCCTGCTGACTGAAGGGTCCCAGGTTCAATTCCGGTCGAGGGCATGTACCTGGGTTGCGGGCACATCCCCAATGGGAGATGTGCAGGAGGCAGCTGATCGATGTTTCTCTCTCATCGATGTTTCTAGCTCTCTATCTCTCTCCCTTCCTCTCTGTAAAAAATCAATAAAATATATTTAAAAAAAGAAGAAAAGAAAATGTACAGGTATGAGCCTTTCCGTGCAGTTCTTGTTCAGTTAGCCATGAAAGGCAGATAACTTACACCTGCTGCTGTTGTTTATATACCACACACGTGGGTGCACATTTATATCTATTATTGAAAAATGATTTGGATGGGTCTTCATTTTTGTGATTTGTGTGTATCAGTGGAGGAATTAATACGTCAGGTTTGTTAAAAACTGCGAATCAGTTTAATGTCTTGTGACAAGATACTGTTATCTGAAGCAGTCCACTCTGATAAAATAATGTTGAAAAGCAAACTTGCAAACTACTCACTGTCTGACTTTAATTTATGTTCTCAGAGCAATTAGAGTCTCATTTGACGATTACCACAAGACCTGGTCTGATCTAGCTACGTCCAAGGCTGCGGAAAGTTTCAGAACCCCACGTAAGCCGGTCTCCCCCCACCCCCGGTCCTTGTGGGGCCTGTTCATCTCATAATCATTCTCAGCGTGTCTTGCTCTTAAAGACTAGCCAACATATATTTGCAATTTGAAGGTGATAAACTTCTCGGTTTGTTCTACATACGAATCAACTTCATTTCGTTCCTCTTTTGTTTAGCACCTTGGACTGGCATCTGATTAAAAGCCAGAAGGAAAGATAGGCAATTGGAGGAATAAAAGGTGACAGTCTCTATCTTAAGACATTTACTTTACTCCTCTCACCCCAGAAAGAAGCCTTCACAGCAGATGGAACCTTTCTGATTCTAAACACTATTAATCTTCAAAGCCAGAGAACATATTAAGTAGAAAGACACACACACAAAAAAAAAAACAAAACACACCCATATAAAACTAGGGCTTTCAATTATATCAATCTAAGGCCATCAGACATTAGGAATTAAAAAGACAGGGGAGAGCTGGACAACTTTGGAGTCCCATTTAATCAAATCTTTAGAGTACTATTTCATTATTTGGGTCAAAGTAGGTTATCCAGTTGATACACACTTACGGAAATATGGTTTTGCTTCAGTTATTCTGCTGAATGGTGCATTCTGAAATTGCCAGTGACTTCCCAATTCCCAGATTCAGTAATTATTTTTCAGTCTTTATCTTGTGCTCGCATCAGCTATGCTGTCCTTGTATTAGATGAATATATATATATATATATATATATATATATATATATATATATATATATGGTGTGTGTGTGTGAGTGTGAGTGTGTGTGTGTGTGTGTGTGTGTGTGAGAGAGAGAGAGAGAGAGAGAGAGAGAGACAGAGAGAGAGACAGAGAGAGAGACAGAGAGAGAGATGACATCCATGTTTTCCTCTTCTCTTAGTGATCCTCTGCCTCTTTCCTTAGAAAAAAACTTTGTTACTCAACCCGCTCTACCCACTTTCTCAAAGAGACCTCATCCACCACTCTGGTCTTCATTAGCCTGCCTTCCAGTAATCCCTAAAGCTTCATCGCTAGCCCGATCCTCTCCTGGATTCTGCAAGCATGTTTACAACTGAGCATGGACATCTCACACTTAGGATGTCCTGAAGTGAATTCATTACCTAAAACCTTATCCTTCATACCTCTCAAGATTAGTGTAGATCACCATTATTACATTTACTTGCCTGAACCAGAATTACAGAAGTTTCCTAGACTCTTTATCTCCCTCATTAAGTCTTGTTGCTTTTATCTCCTACAACATCATGAATGTTTTCCCTCCACTTCACACCGCCCCACCCACAACCACTGCCTTAATTTGTGGTCTCATCAAATTTCACCTCATCATTGTGATGGTCTCATAATTGGTTTCAATAGAACAAAACATCGCCCAGACAAAAATTTCCAGTTTTAAGGCACAAATTATAGCCAAAAAGTAGCACTCAGCTTACATATATAAAAAAGTAAGTTGGATCTTTCAGAATGTTGGTTATTAATTATTTCGTGAATAAACATTACCTTCCTCACTCACTCATGGATTAATGGTTAAGAAACATAACTTAAGGTGCTTGAAGAGACACAGTCTTACTCTGGACGGCTGGCTCAGTTGGTTGAGCATTGTCCCATGCACCAAAAGGTCTCTGGTTCAATTCCCAGTCAGGGCACCACTTGCCCAGGTTGACCATAAGCTGTTTCTCTCACATCAATGTTCCTCTCTCTCTCCTCCTCCTCTCCCTTTCTCTCTCTCTCTCTCTCTCTCTCTCTCTCTCTCTCTCTCATCAGTAAAAACATAGATAGATAGATAGATAGATAGATAGATAGATAGATAGATAGATAGAGATAGAGAGAGACTGTCTTTAGTAACTCCATCCACATAAAGAATTTTATTATTTTTGATACCAGGGTATGTGAATGTTTACTTCATTTCAGAAGTTAGTGGTTGGTTGCTGTTCAGTCAATTCAGCAAACATATCTTGAGTGCCTACTATGTGTGAGGCACTGAGGAGCTCAGGTGCATTCCAGGAAGCAGAAACCCTTATCAAACCCTGTCAAGAGGCAATTGGCACTTTTAGGGAATGACTCAGCGTCCAACTCCTTCAACCAAAAACCAAACCGATTGGTAGAGAATGGCTTTTTATGGGATAACATGTAAAGATAGGGAGGCATTTGGAGACTCCAAACTGCTAGGAGGGAAAAAATGAAGCACATGCCAAAACTTAACAAAATTTGGAAATTATTGTGTTGCACTAAAGAACGATTTAAAATGGAAGGATAATGAAATGCCACTGACTGCAGTTCCTCTTCAAAAGAATCCGATACAACATTTTTAACGTGGTTCTTCTCTCTGGGTCACTAACCAGCATGTCATTCACCCTCTTTGCGAAGGCAATAGCTGGTAATGGTTACCTCTAGCCCCGAAGAATTTCTGAGACTTTGATTCCAGCCCTTGCTGCAATATTTCTTCATCACCCTGACTCTTCTTCCTCCAGGGATTTGTTATAAGAATGTTTCAAGAGCTTTCTTTTAATAATAACCAGCACTTAATTTTTAAAAAATAAATGTAAATATTACATCTGCTGCTGGCCATTTTGTCTTTGGATAATTCAGCTGGATGAGATCCAATACTGCTTTTTTTATCAGCCTAATTTCCTGGCAATAATAAAGACGAAGCTTTTAGATTATAGAATGCATCTTCAACTACTCAGAAATAAAAGGGAAACTTGCAATAACTTCATTTTCTGCAGTTACATTCTTATCACTGGAGATATTATTAAGCTCTTGTGCATATTTTTAAAAGCTTTTTATTTTACAAATAGTGATGCGTGGTTATATTTTGATTTGGGGTAATAACTCTTCTCCACTTCTTTGTGCCACAAACCTATCAGTAGTCATGTGTGCCATAATGATAGTACGTTTATTCTTGTCTAGCATGGTTTCCAGAGTGTACTCTGTATTATGTTTTTTAATCACCCCAGTGTTATTCTTTTATTTGTTTGTCAACAAATATTTATTAAACATCTAACACGTGTCATGTGCAGTGGTATGTCAACCCAGTGAGCTAGGCATTTATTATAACTCTGTTTTACAAGTGAGAAAACCAAGACCAAGGCAAGCTAAGTAACTTACTAAGGTCACACATGTAAGAGGGAATAGCATGTATTGGTAAAGAGTATAAGTTCTGGAGCCAGTTTGCTCTGCCATTTACTAGCTGTGTGGCATTGGGTACATTTCTTAACCTCTCTGTGTCCCAGTTCCTTCGTCTGTAAGATAAGAATGACGACAGCACACACCTCATGGGTTGAAGCACTTATAGCTGCACCTAGCACATGAGTGTTCAATAAGTGTGGTTATTATTAATTAGTACAAATAGATTGTGGCCCAAGGACTTGAACCAGATCCTCTGACTCCACAGTTATTGCTTCTTGTCATACTCTACTGCCTTTATAATATGATATAAAGTGTTTATTTCTTTATAGCCAGAGATTTATTTTTAGTTGAATTTATTGGGGTTACATTAGTTAATAATACTATATAGGCTTAAGGGGTTCCTTTCCATATGGCCTAAGGTTTAAATTCAAACTCTGAAGAATATGCAGTATGTGTTTTAATAATTGTAATTATTAGCTCATAATCATAGGCAATCATATGGGAAAATGTATGAATGATCCACCGTTCTCTGTCCATCACTATAGAATGGCAAATTAAAAGCTTGGCAGAGAACAAACCACTACATCTGGTTGTGGGCAACAGCACCTTAACGACAGAATATGATCCCCATAAGGAAATGTTTATGTTCGAGGAAAAGAATTCCTTCAGACCAGTGTACCCTGTAATATTGAGCGGGGGCTTCCTGATGTTTGCTGTCATCAAGACAGACCAAACAGCCTGAAGCATCCTGGGGATGCTTGCTTTCACCCTAGGAGACTTTCATTCTTTGAGTCTTTGAGCCAGAAACAAGGGCAAGTGTCTCCGAACTGCATTTGGTCTTGAGAGGCAGTATCGTCTAGTCCTCATGCCTGGTTCTAAGCCTTGACTGCTCATTAGAACCCCAGAGGAGCTTGTAAAAATTCCCATGTAAAGGGCACACCCCCAGACCAATTACATCAAGAGCTCTCGGAGCAAGACCAGGCAGCAGTAGTTTTTAAAGCTCTCCAGGTAATTACAATGTGCAACCAAGGTTGGCAAGGCTCTAGCAGGAAGAGCATGATGCCAGAAGTTCGAGACTCCTTAGCCCTGTACAAGTTTGCCACATATAGTAACGTGAATTTAGGTCAGTCATTTAATGCTTTGTACTCATTTTTTTTCCATTTCTATTCATTGAAAAAAACGTCTCACTTTTATTTCAAGTTGCTATGAGATAATATATGTGAAAATAAAACCTGCTAAGGCAAGTTGGTGCTATTATATTTCTTTGGACATTGGCAGTCCCAGTAGTAGAAAAAAATTTTTTAAAGATCAGCCTATACAGATGTTGGAAAAGAGGTGTGTCATGGCAAAAACAGAGTAGGAACAATACCTGGTAATCCTTGGGAGGGAAGGAAGAAATATTATGGAGGCGGTAGAAGTTGATTTTCTATCACAAACCACAAAGGCCAAGATACGGTAATAATGGGGGAATTTCTACTTCAAGGACTTCTGAGAGAATTTTACTGGTCCTTTCTTCTTGCTCTCTCTCCTGTACTCTCTCTCTTTCTCCTGTCCTCATTCCTCCATTATTTTCCTCCAATCAACATGATTTATTGAACATCTTCTATCTCTAGGCAATGGACTGTGTGTTGGAGACAAGAAGATAAGTATTATGGTAAGCTTTTTGAGGAGTTTACAGGCAGGTGGTCAGAGACAGATAAGTGAAAAAAACTATAGGGATAAAATAGGCATATTAAACGTTTGTACAAATACTGTGACTTTTTAAAAAAAAAATCTCTCAGCAGAGAAAACAATGAATAAAATAAGTCAATGATGTCAAATTAATGGGAATAGTCAGGAAAGATGACCACACCATAAAGAGACTGCTGTACATATTCAAATAGAAAATGTAGGAAAAGCAATTTCAAAAAATTAAGGAAATTTATAAATTATCCTTGATTCAAATTTTAAATTTTGTCTAAGTAATATATAGTCACAATGAGAAGACTTTACTCAATCTTTTGTTTGTTCATCTCATCTGTAAAGTGGGTATTATAGCGGTAACCACGGCATTCATACTTTACAAGTGCCCAGTAAGAACTCTATTAATATTAGTTATGATAATCATCTGAAGGAAACAATGAGACCTCACTAAGAATTCTTGGGAGCTCAGATTTCCTTCTTTAATAAAAGAGAGGAGTATATATCCAAATACCAATAGAAACAATATTAATAAAACCTCTAAGAATATGTATGTAACTGGTATATGTGCTTATGATTGAAGCAAGAAAAGAATTTTTTAAATATTTTTATTGCTTTCAGAGAGGAAGAGACAGAGAGAGAGAGAGAGAGAGAGAGAGAGAGAGAGAGAGAGAAACATGAATGATGCGAATCATTGATCAGCTGCCTCCTGCACACACCCTACTGGGGATTGAGCCCACAACCCTGGCATGTGCCCTTGACCAGAATCGAACCTAGGACCCTGCAGTCTGAAGGCCGACACTCTATCCACTGAGCCAAACCAGCTAGGGCACAAGAAAAGAAATTAAAATATAGATAGGAACATTGCTAGTGAAAATCATGTAATATTAATTTTAAAAAATTACTCAGTTTAAATGTCTTTATCAGTGACAAATTTCATCAGGCAAGAAGGGGATAATCAATCATTGGTAAGAACTAAGTCCCAGATACTGGCAAGATTGGTGGAAACATCTAGTTGGTTAAATAGTTCACGACTGTAAACCTAGGACAATTAAAAGAAACAAAGAGATGATAGACAGACGACAGACAGACAAATAGATATGGTATACATGTGTATTTTATCTGGATCTAATCATATTTTATGTAAAATCTACCAGTGCCTTAAGCATAATAGATGTCAATAAATTTTATGTGAATTTGAAAGCATGGGTTTTATAATTAACCACAAAGACATGAGCGAGTGGTGTAATGTGATTTCCACAAAATACTAATGCAGATCCAAGATGTAGCATACAGATCGAGGGAAGCAGTAAGTCACTTGCATCTTTGCTATTCAAATGAAACTAAGATCCTTGGCTGGTTCTGGATGCAAACTTTAATAAGGACATTAACAAATGTCATTGCCAGGATGGTGAGGATGGTTGGGTCGCTGGAAAATCATGTCTTAGAAACAGTTGGAGGAACTGAGGCTGCCCTGAGAGCTATCTCCAAATATTAGAAGGGCTCTCTCCCCCGGGGGAGGAATGAACTTACTCATGACAGCTCCAGAGGTCAGAACTGGACCAGTGGAAACTCAGCACTCAGATTATGGAAGGACACCGTGACTTACTATCTGTCTGTCTATCAATGGAAAGGCAGTTCCTCAGCTACAAAGAGGAGAGTTTTTTGTTAGCAAAGGATTTATTTACAGGCTGGATGGTCATCTGTTGCAGATTTTTTGGGAAAGATCAAGATCTGTAATGTCACTTTGAACGCCAGGATTTTACTTTGCTACTTGAAGTGCTCAGTTAGAATTTTGTTAAACTATGGTGTCTATAGTTTCTATATGAGTTATTTTAACACCTTCTTCATCACTATAAATGATACATAAAGAAATGTCATTATAATGAAAAGTTTTTAAGTCACAATCTACTTATATCAAACAATATCCAATATTACCAAGTTCAAATAAAAGGAAAAAATATGGAAAGTGTCTGAGCATTATCACATGATTTGCAGTATATAGTGTACATCATTGCCACATATCAACTCAATGAGAAGTGGATTATTTTAAACTTTGAACTATCATTAAAGAATGCATAGATAGCTTCTTTTTTATACTCTAATTTCAGTGCTCGAGAATCCAGGTTTCATTGGACAGTATCATAAGTGGAAGAAAATGGAGCAAAAACATCAGAAAGAATGGAATTTAAAGTAAGTAATCTTAAGTGTCTGGAATATATTATCCTATTAACTTGAAAAATATTGACTATTCCACTTTCTACTATCTAACTGAACCATCAGAAAAAAACCCTTTGGAAAGAACTTATACTTTTTTTTCTAAACATAATAAAAATAAGAAGTATTATTTTTTTCCCCTTTTATATGAATCCAGGTGGGAAACATCTTTGCTACCTATTGGTTGCCAAAAATGGATAAAGGACCAGAGATAGAAATAGGAATAGGAAAATAAAAAACCTTAACTTGTTTATATATCATCAAATAGCTTTTCATCCTTCTCAGAGCTCCTAATATTTTTCCTCTCCCACAGATTTCTCACTCAGGAACCAAATATATTACATCTAATGAGAAAGTATGTCGTAAAGTACAGAAATAAAGTATGATTGTATCTTCAGAAATCAGACTCTTAGGCAGCTTTAAGGAAGGGATCTCCATCTCATCTTGGGCTCTTGACTTCCATCTGTGGTGTGGGTTGGGTTGTAGTAGTCATTTATCCTGGTGGGCTTATTTCAAAGTACTGAGTGTGCTACCACAAAGCTAGGGGAATTAAATATCGCCCCCCTTTTTTTTTGCATTAACCTCATTTACCTCATTTTTTAGATCTTTGACTTGTTAGCCTGTGACCTCTTTTCCAGATAGAAATACAGGATCAGTAAACATAATGTGCTGTATTTTGGATTTGTGTAGGAATCAAGGCTCTTAAAATATACTTTCCTGCCCTTTAGCATCAGACTTCAGATTGGGTTTTCATTAGGATATTCTTTTTCCAGTTGACTCTGGCAACAACTCCTCTTTAAGCCAAAGTGGAAGAAAGCTCTTCCATTAGATGCCTTTCTGTTTTCAGAATAAATTATAGGTAGTAGAGAAGTTTTATGAAACAGAATTTGAAATGCACGCATGGTGTGTGTGTTTTTTTCTTAAAGTCATGTTTTAAGTTTCATTTAAGAGTTAAAGAAACATACTCAGAACATAAAGTTAATTTTGCTTTGACGTGACTTCCTTTTTTATTTCCTTTAAGAGAACTGCTTTGTTTTATTTGTTTGATCATATATTCATTATGTAATGCCAGCATCCCACAAAACCCCCAAATTTAGAAAAAGTGGGACCATGTCATTTTCAACTTATCCATCCACTTCTACATATGGCTGAAATAATTGCAAGCTGTTTGAGTGCTAGAACATTTTTCCAAATACATTATTTTGAAGTTATAGGTCAAATTATCATGTGCGTGGTAACCTTGTCAGAATGAAACTCTCACACCTTATGCCATCTGGTGGTTGATGAGAATATATTTATATCATAATATTTGCTTCTTTTCAATATTGGAATTGATTAGCTAAAAAAAAAACCACACTAAATAAAGTTTTTAAAAAATAGTACATTTATCTGTATAATTTTATTGTGACATAAATGAGTATGCAAAAATCTAAAGTATGGTGGAATCAACTTTTTTTCAAATTATTAAAAGTCTCATATTCATCAAAATATATGAGGTACAATGAAGTGGTCAATTCATAGAGACAAGTAGAAAATATTTGGGCATCTATGCAAGTGAGCGATTGGTCTACATGTCCATGCAATATCATATATGCATCTTTCTGTTTTTATGTTTGAAAATGCTTTTCTTACACTGAAATGTCCTATGAAAAACAAAACAGAAAATGCAAATTGAGAATCTTTCAACTGTATAGCATTGAGGAAAAAGAGAGACTTATCTTTCCTGCTTCATATCCCTCCTCCTACTGTCCTCCCATCCCCTCATCAATCAAGGTCCAATTCTTCAGCCACACTAAACGCTTTTGTATTATTGGGAACATAAGATCTTTTCACCTCTTTGTGCCTTCTGCCTGGGATATCTTGCCCGGTAGGGTCCTTGCCGGTGGTCTAGAGTCAGGATTGGTCTGAGTGAAAACGTGGACTGTGGAACGCTTAAGTGCAGGGGCGCTGGAGCCAGACTGCCTGTATTGGATCCTGGCTCTGCCAGTTATCCGCTCTGTGACCTTGGGCAAGTTATCTGAATTCTTTGTGCCTCAGTTTCGTTCTCTGTTCAAGGACAGTCATTACTGTACCTACACCCCTTTGAGGTTGAGGACTAAGTAAGTTAATACATGAACAATGCTTCAAATTGTATCTGGAACATAATAAGTTCCCCCTGAGGGTCTCTATTATTCATGCTCTTCCTACTGTGGCTCTAGTTCAAGTTTCCGATGGAAAATCTTTGGAGGCAGCATGGGGAAAGAACATGCGCTTTAGAGTCAGACAGATCTTGGAGAAAGTCTTACCCACAGTGAGTTCGTTTCCTTGCCTATTAAATATAGATAACATGACCGAGGTCGCAAAGTTGTCTTGCATTTGATCTCTTGAATGAGATCGTATATATATATATATATATATATATATATATATATATATATATATAATTATATACCTGTTGACATATGGACATTCAATAAATATTAGTCCCTTGGGGGTAGGGAGAGATAAAAGCCCATGCCCACCAACTTTTCAAATAAAAATAGTCTTGTCAGAAACATGTAAAAATTTTAAAATTTTTCTCAAGTTAGGAAAGTAATAACTATCATGACTACATTTATTTTAGTCCTATTATATGCATATTTTTTCCTCTGCTTTTCCACTGCACCTCTACCCTCTCTTCTGCCTGGCAAAGTATTTCTCAAAGACGGTGTGAAGATACAGCTAAGTTGTCTCTTTGTGAGAGGGTCCCTGCCATCCTCTCCTTCCATGGCACTCTCTCGCTAGCTCTTTCAGCCCCTGTGGCGTGGGACTTCATCTCTTCGTGATTCTGGTAGCTCAGCACAGTACCTGTCCAACCAGCAGGCACTCAGGTAGTGTGTGTAGCATGATGCACACTTAACGTGTACCTTGTTTTCCCACTTAATAGGATTAAATGTGAGGACAGTTAATTTTCAGAGAAATAAAATGTAGGTACTGACTTCTATTAAGGCCCATTCTGATGTAGAGATTATGGTTCTACTTAGGGAATTCTAAGGATGTAGTCATAGAACAGTGATTGAAAACTGGAAATATAAATGACTGTCATAAATATTTTATGCAAATTCTTAAGTCCCACCCATGTTTTTAGTTAGTATTACTAGGTATCCATTGTCATTATAAGCACCTCATAAATAATTATGAATTGATCATTTGGTTTGGTGTTCATTTCTAAGGATTTTTTTTTCTTTCCCATTGTGTTGCCTGCCTTTTGGCTATTTGTACAAATGCTTTATTTCAACCAAGACATGGGAAGAATATGAGTCTAGAATCTAATCAGTAGTTTGCATATATCTTCTCTGTAGAAAGACTGAAAGATACAAAATCAGAAAGCAGTGCAAGCTATTTTTTTAAATTTTCTTACTTATGCACATACTAGAGGCCCAGTGCATGAAATTCATGCACAGGGGAGGGGGGGTGGGTCCCTCAGCCAGGCCTGCACCCTCTCACAATCTGGGACCTCTCGGGGGATGTCTGACTGCTGGTTTAAGCTCAACCCTGTGGGCCTAAACCAGCAGTCGGACATCCCTCTCGCAATCTGGATCTGCTGGCTCCTAACCACTCTCCTGCCTGCCTGATCCCCCCTAACCACTCACCTGCCTGCCTGATCACCCCTAACCACCTCTGCCTGCCTGCCTGATCACCCCTAACCACTCGCCTGCCTGCCTAATCGTCCCTAACTGCCTCTGCCTCAGCCCCTGCCACCCCGTCTTCATCCAGAAGGATGTCCGGAATGGTGTCCAGAAGGTCATTCTGCTGTCCCGTCTAATTAGCATATTACGCTTTTATTATTATAGATAAAACTATTTTTATGTCATGATCTATAGTTAATGATTGCTTATGTGGTAATGGAAAGATCTATGTCAGTAGTCTAAGATTTGTCAGGCAGAAAGTTATCCATTCTGGAGAAGTTTTACATTCTATGTAGCTTTAGAAAAGGGTATTGCTCTTGTCTATTCATAGAAAGTATGGGAACTAACATGGCAAAGCGCCTACTGTGTGCCAGGCATTCTCCCTTTGTTTCCTAACATAATACTGGCCATGCTGTTGTGGAGCTGACCTCTAAGTGTAACTCCCAGTCATATCCATCAGCCTTCTTCAAAGCCAACTAGTCAACCTACACTCCAGGTCAAAGCACTTTCCTTGTTATAGGTCACAGCTTTAAGACAAGGGTCTTCGCCTCCCTTTCTGGAAAAGCAGAGGCAGCTAGTAATTATATGCAGTTTACTGATGAAGGAAACATGAGGCAGAAAGAGACTAACCAGCTTGCCTGAACTTATTGATAAGCACATATTGTGTTTATAAATGAAAACGAAATGATTTCCAATCTGCCTATTAATATGTGCTTACATAAAAGCTTAAAATTTTCAGGTAACTGTTAAAATATTGCCTACCCAATTGCAAGCACAAATTGATTCTACCTCCTATAAAAAAGTTTTGGGGGTTTTTGTTTTGTTTTGTTTTGTTTGGAGTCAATCTCAACATCTATTATTAAACAATGTTACTTCCTTTCTTCTATATATAAAAAATTAACATGTGCTATAACAAACACCAGCATAAAACTTTCTTATATTTATAGAATATACTCTGGATTTAATTTTACTATTTTTTAATAAGAATGTAATATGTATTATTTCTAAGTTCCTGCAGAATGTGATTCTGTATGTGTTTTAACTCACAAAAGTATATGGTCTTGCTTTAGCATAACTATGTTTGATTCTCTTTTCTCCAATTATATAGAAAACATTTATGCTGGGTACATTAATTTAGTGGGTGTTTGTGCTATTCTTTCAGGTTAAACATTGTTTTTTATAGGGTTATATAATTATGTATTTAATGCATTTTAAGGAGTAATGCTAGCTTTTTTTATTTCCCAAACCTTGACTGCCATCTTGTGGTTAAAAAGAAAATTGACATTAAAATGAGCCTAGGAAATGATCTTTGAAAATATACTAGTAGACATGG